GTGGCCAATCGCGGTCCACATCAAAATGGTGCAAAATTTCGGCAACGCAGTTCCAAAGGTGTCAGACTAACTTGCTACCAATTGAGTTTCAGCGCCTGATTTGTTCCTCGCTCGTTCCTTTGGGGAGAGTATTCAAAGCGCCTTGCCGGATATCAAAGTAGGCCACAATTTGCTAGGCAGGATGCAGTCGTGGACAGATCCACCCTCCCGGGGTCGGGTTGTGCGTTTTTTGTTCTCTCCGACGCCGTGTCACCACCTGATTCCCTCACGCAATAGCTGTGTAGGTGTTTGCAAGAGACGACGGGGCCCACCCAATTTTTGTCAAAACTGGGCAAGCAGCTGATGATGAGGTTAAAGTGCCGCAATTCTGTGTACGAATGCCACTAACTTTCGAAAGACTTGTGGGTAAGTTCGTAAGAGAGCTCTTAACCCTTATACAACCCAAACGCCAGATCAGGATGCTCAGAGCGCTTCAGAAGCCTTTTGTGGCCTTTGGGTCAAGCTCTGTCAAAACAACTCCCCTGAGACTACCCAAAAAAAAACGATGAGAGTTTCTGCCGTGTTCACCCACCACGTTCGAAGCCCATTGTCAAGCAGGAAGCCAAGGTGGAGCAACCTCAAAACGACTGACAAATCTTACCCGAGTTTGCCCAATTGAACCTAAGGAACGCGTGGAATCCACAATTGATGTGCCTTGCAACCAACCCCCTACGCTGCAAACAAAATATATGTCCGTTTTTGCCGGTTGAATGCACATGACGGAAAACCAAGAAGTTTCTCGTCAACAGCCCAGGTAAAGCAATATATATATATATATTTATGAAAGCGCTTCCAGAGCAACCCTAGCTATTCTATTTGGTAGACCCTTGATGAAAAAACATGTTCGCATCGCTGGGTCTAATCCTAAGCTCCCCTTCCACCCACCCGCTTCCTCACCCGCTCTCAGCTCCCGGGCTGCAGCTCCGGCACATCCTTCTCCGTGCCGGCGAAGGCATCCTGAGCAAACCGATGGGAGGCTTCCGGAGGTCAATGCTGCCCAAACTGCGCCCGTTGGAGTTCAGCTTGGCACGTCAGTTTTTGATTGTTTCGTTCTTTTTTCCAGGGGTCTTTGTTGAGTTTTGCCCGCCGACTTAGGGTACCCAGTTCGGTAGAAACAAGAAGAGACGGACCCAAGAGCCAAACAGATATAAATCACAAGCTCCACCGAGCGCACGTGCTCGCAAAGCGCAACGCGAACAAACGAGGCTGGGGACACTGCTTGCGTCAGGGCTCATCGCGAGGTCGGAAGGAGTGTTCCCAGCACTCTCCGTCGGATCCACCCTTGCGGCCTCCGCCAAGGCAAGTCTCACCAGCAGCACACGGACGGCCACACCTCATTCTTGGCACTGTCTCCGCACCAACCCCACCGGCATACCCTCGGCGAGACCGACAGACACCTCGACACAAGCTCTTGAAAACAGGCTGCGGGTGTCGCACACCCTTGCAATACGTTCAATGCCATGCTGTTTGCAAGAAAGAACACCTGTGTCCTGCAGGGCCCACCCGCCCCCACATAATTACTCTTTCAGGCGCGGTGAACGGCACACCCGGCCTTCCCCCATCCTCCCTGCGCAGCGTCTCCCGCGCAGCCCCCAGAGAGCGTCCGCTTTGGGGGCCGAATGTCGGTTTTCACGGGTACATTGGCCCCAATGTCACTTCCCAGGGCCACATTCGAGAGTGACCAATCTGCAGCCGTGATTGGCCGGCCTTTCTTCAGCCACCGCGACTGGACAATGTGTCCGTGAGTAGTACGCCGTGTCATCTGAGCGCAGCGGCAAACTCCGCAATCACGCTTTCAAGGACCGACAAAGCGCCAGCCACACGCCTGGCACAAAACAAACTCTCAAGCGCAATGCCCCCCGTGCCAAGCCAATGTGCCAGGGTGGCCGCTGCGTGCCTGTTGTGCGCCTGGTGCATCCATTCGTTCGCATGCTGTATGCATTGGAAGGCGGCTTAAGCCAAAGTCAAGAATGCAAACATGCACCTCTCCTGCGTCAAGCATACAGTCTCTAGGAAATGCATACGAGATGCAGAAATGGCGCGCTCATTTCGCATGCCTTTTATGTGCATTGCGAATACTTTCCCAAATGCGCACGCTACCTCCTTCGTCAAACGCAGACAAACGTGCATACGAAAAAAATCACCAAAACATGCAGCCATGTAATGCAGCAAACGCAGACAAATGCAGTTCGAAGGCATACCGAGCATATACTCAATGCAGTCTGAAGGCAGATGCTGTAGCTGGCGCCACACAGCGGCATGAGCTGACCCAGCTGCGGGTTGAGGCCTTCGATGTGCAAAGAAAGTTGCATGACACAAGAGGCGAGATCGGACAAAGAGCAAAAAGCAGCTGCAAACCGAAAGGTTGTCAAACGCTGCACCAAACTGCTGCGCGCGAGTGTGAGCAATGAACTTGTGAGCGAAGCCCCCGCCCCACCATTGAGTTTCCGCAGCGCACTGGAGCGAGGCAGCTGTACCGAGTTCAAACCGGGCGGCATGCGTTCTCACGCTCGCTCGACCTCGGCGCTGTAAGGGGAATCGTGCAACTGGACCTTCCAGTGACGGTGGACGTTCTACGTCGCGCGGCGGCCGGTCGGCGAGCTCTGCGCCGTCGAGCTCGCGCGCCATTTCCGGGGCCACAGTGCTTTAGTTTCGGCCTTTTGTATGCATTTCGGATACCCTGGCAAGATCTACTCAGAACTGCATGCCACAAATGCATACGACGCAATACGAAATGCATACTGAATCGCCCGCAGCAGTATTTTCAGCAAACACCAGACAGCATCACCAGCATAACCAGCATCATCTGCAGCAGGCGCTTGCGGCTCGAAAACTGCTGGAGTCAGAAATCCACAAAATCAAACAAACTCGAAATTGGGTGCAATCTATCTTATTGTTTTGCGCAAAAACAATAACACAATTAACAAAAAAGAGGAAACGCTCTCCGAAACAGTCGGTTTTTTTTCGACCCCCCCCCCCGCAACTCCAGCGACACAGCCGCTTTCCGCCATCACTCAGAGCAACTCCCGCGAAGAAGGGCTTCGCCATGCCATGCCGTCGGCGAGTTGGGCAGGGCAAGAACAACACAAGCTCCTCGAGGAACACCACCAGCGCAACTTCGCGCAGGCAATAGAGATGCGAGTAGATGCTTCTTAACATGATGGGCAAAGGTGACAAACAACTCATGTGACGAGGCAACAGTATCCTGCGTCTGCAGCCCGTTGGTTGCCCGCAAGGTTCAACCTTGAATCCCTGGAGTCGAAGTAACGGCGGGCGAGCCTGCAAAGCTCATCTCACGCATGTTTCAATCAACCTGGAGTCAAGGTTGAAAACTCAAAGTCACAACCCCGGTCGCCGCCAAAGCCCTGGGCCAGTCGCAAGAAATGGGAAGAGTGCAGTTCCCTTTTAAAACACGGGGGCGGTCGCCCCTCTGGAACCTTCTTGGTTGGCGTTGGTTGGTTGAACAGCTCTGCAACATGTTATTTTCAGGCGTTTTGCGTGTGAAACAGTGGCCAATAGGGTGAGCTGGCAAAAAGTCGAAGCCAACTGCACCAAAGACCCTGGAAGGGCTGAACACTTTCATCCCCCAGTTTCCCCAGCTGCGGTTCGGGGAAAGATAAGGAGGCCTTACATGGTGTTGACAAGTGCAATTCAACTCTTCCTTAACAGCAGCCCAGGCATGAGCCAAGGGTTCCATTGTAGGAACCCTTTCATTGGTTGTCCAAAATCTTAGGGTTCATGACCACTCCTTGTCCATAGCACCCTCAGAGACAAACCCATGCAAGCGCCCGAAACCAAGTGAGCAATGCTCACAGAAGCACAGCGGCTTTGGGCACTGCTCATGTCGACACTTCCAGGCCAAGTCCCCGTGCCATCACCGCGTCCGCCTGGATGGTCATTATCTCACCCGGGTGGCTTCCGTTGGGAAGCCATCGACAAATCTCTAAGACTTTTTTGGGGCTCCCGTATACTCAACCAGCACCCCGGACCCCCCCGGTTTTTGGGTTCCAATGCAAAAGGTGAGTCCAAACTGTGATTTCACCTCCACGTTTCCTTTTTTGGCCCAACAACCATCAGCAAGAACAAGGGAGGACAACAACACCAACGAGTCCTAAATGGGTGTGGCTCAGAATTAACACGAGGGGTTACGCAGGTTTTGGTCCATGTTTCCACTTACCAGGGTTCCATTTTGGTACCGGTTTTTTGAGCCACACCCAAATGCCTCCTCCTACCTAGCCAAAAAAAAGCAGGGAAGAGCAAGCTCAAAGGGCACCTCCGCGTCGGTGGTGGCGACCTCACCAGTGGCATTGGCCTGGCGATTCCATAGCCCGAGGCGTCGCACGATGGATCTGAGTGAAGAAAAAATGCAAAGCTGAAGTAAGCCACAGACTCACAAGCAAGGATATTTCATAGGGGGAAATCGATGGCAAACCACAAGCTTTGGTGAGGTCACTATAATCTGTCCAAGGCAATGGGGGCTTCTGCTTGAAATCGACCTTACAATAAACCAGGTAGAACCTCATCAGCCAGGGCTTTGGCTCACTTAGGCCCCACAGGCCGTGGGCTTGCATGAACCCAAAGAATGCCGAGGCGTTTATATCTCCAAACTGGGCTTTGGTTCCGCGGTTTCCCTTTAAACAGATTCTAGAGCGAGGTTCGACCAATCCCTTGTTTACGCTTAAACAATCTTCTGGTGGTTTGCGTTGCAAAAGCCGCAGCAGCCGGTTGTTTCCACATATCTTGCACATCCCAGTTCCAAACAGTGAACAAAAACGGCAAGCCCGCTGCGAGCTTCGCATCTTTTCACCTGGATGACACAGGCGTTGGCTCGAGCCGATGTGAGACCGGGATTAGGCGGAGTTCTAAGTCTTTCTCGAAACTCAACATGTGCTCGGTCCTTGTACTGGCTGAGTATCAGTGGAAATCATTGGCTGTGTTGGCGACTCATCCATCTGTCTGCTTGACCTGTTCTTGCTGTGTTTCCTTCTTTGTTTGTGTCGCCTTGCGTTGCAAAGCGACCCCGTCTGTCGGCCCCGGGCGCGCAAAAAATCAGATGCGCTGGACCGGGCCAAGGAGGGCAGATCGCCCCGAAAAAGGCGACAGAGATGGTCGGGCCACTTCCCCGACTCGCCCCGGCGCTTCAAACCGCGTTGAAAATGGGAAAGGATCCACCCAGCCTCGGCCTGAAGTTGGGCCACCAGATCAGCTCGGACTGGAACCCAACAACTTTTGAAGTTGTCGCCACTTCACCCAATTCTTCCACACTCTTGGGTGGGCAGAAGGCGGGATCTGCACCTGGCCTCGCGGCACAGTCTTGCTTTGAAAACCTCACTTCTTGAGTAGATTGACCCAAAAAGGTCGAAAAACATTTGGTTTCGAGAAACGGAAGCGCTCAGACCCGAGTTGCTTAGCACGAGTTGCGGAGCTTCCGACGGCGAAGGCCTCAATCACTCAATCAGCCCTTTCTGGAGCATCCCCCCAGCTTTAGGGGGAAGGCGGGTAGGACCCGGTCCCCCAGTTCCACTTTCCTAGCAAAAGGAAGAATGAAACTGGAACTTCAGGGGTCGCCCCATCCTGCGGTTCCATTAGGAGTCCTTCGGCAACTTCCAAAGCCGCCACAGCCGGGATGTTGAAAGTGGTTACCCTATGCCCAACTCAGTTGCCTGCACTTGGCGGGAGAAAACAAACACCAAACCCAAGATGTTCCTTCTCTAGCGCATGCAGCGCTGGCAGCTGAGGAACCCCGACACGCGTGAACACCATCTCGGACCAAGGCAGGACCAACAACTTGGCTTCCCAGCAAACCTGCCACAACATCAGCTGCCACAAAGAAACATGGATCTCAAAACAGCTATGACCCCACAAAGTGGCACATGTTCAGATAACTGGACGGAACATGGGGTGGTTGCATGATGCAAAACGCAAGGTCGCGGCAAACAAAACATGATTCAGAAGGATTGCGGATCAGGCCACTTACCCGCCACTGGACCTAAGATCGGGCAAGAAAAAGCTGCAAATCTCCAAACCAGGAGCTCCACTTGGGTTCAAAGGAAACCAGAAGAAAACCAAATCACATGAACCATACACCCGCCACCAGCAGGCGCTGCCTTTTGAGCAACAGAGGGGCCGGTTTGTCCATCCGAGCGGAGCCCCTTTTCAAGCCGGGCTGGGACTTTGGGATTCTGGGACCTGAAAGGGGGCCAAGGTGGTTTTTGAGTAGTGGCGGCCCCACAACCCCCTTTTCTTGACTGAAAATAGTATTACTTCATATTTAGTCAACCTGAAAATATAACTAATCTCGAAGGAAACCCCAGTTTTGGGACGAAAACCCCTTCGGCCCTTTCAAGCCAGGCCGCATCAAAAGGCCCGAAGATCACTGATCAGAGGGGAGCCCGGCAAGTTCCTTCTGACTTCCTTCCGCCTCGCACAGAACCTCAGCGCGCGGCTCCACGCCCAAATGTGGCTGTGGACATCGCCTTGTTGGCTCATTCAGCTGTGTGTGATGCTTTAAGAGCCTATGTGGGGAGCCCTGCCAAACGTTGAGGACCCCACATGTTTGGCGAATATTAAGACCATCTGGCAAGATTTGGCAACACCAGTCAGAACAGGAATCTGAGGGGCCCTCCATGTTCCTTTCGATAAATGCGCCCAAGAGACAGATTGGGGGTCGCAAACAAGTCCCCCCATATGGAGCTGTGGGCTTTGCGCCACTGTTGAATTATATTTTACCCGAAATGAACCCTCAAGGTGTACCACCATCCTGGGTTCGCCCTTGCTTCCCTCAAACCGGTTTGGACTGCTGGAATGACGAGCCATGGGAAGCGCAACTGCCTGAGATGACCAGGCACAAACCGCTTGATGTTGGTGCCTCCACTGAAGCAAAGAAGCAGTGCTGCCAAGAAGAGGTGCAAGGTGTGCCTCTAAGTTGCAAGCCTTTCTGGCCGAAAAACGGGGCTCATCTATGTGAGAATCGGAAGAGGACAGGTGCCCCCCTAAAAATTGGAGGTTTTTATGTCGCCCACAAAACAATAGACCGACAGAAATGTTCTCAGTTGCTCAGGCAGCAAGCCCGCAGAGACCCCATGTCCTCCATGACTCCATGACTCAGTTGTTCAGTGACCCTAGAAAAATAAGCTCACGTGATATCCCCAACAGCATGCGGTGCTCTTTTTACCTCGCAGAACCTCATGGAACCCTGGTGGAACCCTGGTGGAACCCTGATGGAACCCTTGTGGAACCCTCGTGGAACCTTACCTCAGGGCCGCCCCGGACCTCCCCGGAGCCTATCTGGGCTGAGACCCCAGAGCTTTCAGCTGTTGAGGAAAAAGGGAACCCTTTTTGGGCAAGACCATTTTTTGTGGGGCAGCCACCAAAAAAGAAAAAAGGAAAAAGGGTCCCACTGAACAACTGAGATGACGCATCCAAGGTGCAACCAGCCGAGCCGTAGTTGACCGCGGTCTGGGTGGCGCTCCTTGCGCCGCCACGGATCACCATGGAGGAACATGGTTGTATTTTTTGCAAACGGAGTTAAGGAATTCCCAGTATAAGAGACCTTCATCATTTACCCCTGGATGAGCTCGTGATAAGTTGTGGAGAGCAGGGTTGACATGGTGGGCCAATGTTGGTGGGTGCTCGGGGTTGGGGTGGTGGTGCGTGGGAGTGGGTGGCATCGGGTTGAGAGCATTGACCAGTTTGGCGCACCTGGAGGCAACCTCTGCTTATAAAAGTGAGAGCTGGGCTCCACCGAAAGGAGCGCAGCATCCGCGCGGAGGCGTATGTCAACGCATCGCGTACTTTGTGCCAACGAACAAAAAAGTCGAGAAAGCTCAGAGAGAAAGCGGTATCAGAACGAGGAGGCTTGTAAGGCGCTCGTCACTGTTGTCGGGCAACACCCCCGTGCCTTTCATGTCCCGTTCAGGCAACACATGCATCAATGGGGCTGCATGAGTGCTGCGAACGCCCCGCAACCAGTCCTCCCTCAGCCTTCTGCAGTGAAGGCCGTTCATGCAGTTCCAATGGATTCCTAGTCTAGCCTCAATGTATCTAGCTCACCCACTCCAAATGGTCAGGATTTCCACATCTAGGTCCTCCAGTAGAGAGGTTAGAATAAGGGTACCCTTTTTTCTGTAGTCTATTTTAGTAGGGAAACCCTCCCCCAAAAAAGGGCAAAAGGGCACTGCTGGGGGACCTAGACATGATGGACAGTTGTGGCGGTGAGGTGTGGGACTTTGACCAGCGGCTTGTATGCGGCCGCTGGCCCGACCAAAAGTACCGGCCGCTGGCAGAAACTGCCGGGTTGGGATCCCTAATCCGCATCTGCAATCCACAATAAAGCGCTACAACAAGGGAAACCACTAGCATCTGGCAATACAAGATGGAGGATCGTTTTTGAACTTATCCAGCCTTCTCGCTAGAAGTTCTCAGCAAAGGAGTGCCCAAATTGGCACCTCGGCTTGGGCATCAAAAGTCCCAGCACCCCACGTCTCCCCCGTGATCAAAGCCTCTGAGTGCCCGCAAAGCATCCCTCAAGGGATTGGAGACAGGAAAAAGCTTGGAGGGTGCCGGACCAAAAGGAAAAAAACCGAGCAGTGTAAGCCTCAAAAAGCATATGCTTGTGTAAATGGAGAATCCTACAATCCGGATCCTTCATCTTCGCAGACTGGGGAGATACTTGTTTGGGTTGTGTCTAAGACGAAGGCGCCAATGCCGAGAGGACCATTCTCCCCATTCTGGGCACCCAGGTTGGGACCTGGCAAGCCATGTGCGTGTGTCATGATCATGGTCCCTTGCAAGGCAACATTCCCAAATGAGGGATGGATGGGAATCCTCACCAACCCGAAGTAAAGGGGGCTTTTGCACATGGCACAGGTGTCAGGTGCGCATAGCCTGGCGCTTTGCTGTGATGCGCCGTTGCCCTTGTGAGTAATTCGGATCCCTTCAAAGGACCTCCAAAAACATGGGCACAGATGATATTGTCACGACGCTAGCCAAACTCTCAAAGCTCCACAACACAACACAAGCAAACCAAACAAACTGCGCAAACAAAAACAAGCAAGCAAGCACGCAGGCAGGCAGGCAGGCAGGGAGAAAGGCAAGCAAGCCGCCAAGCAAACAAAGCAAACAAAAAAACAAACAATCAGGCGGACGGACAGACAGCCAGCCAGCCAGGCAACCAAACAAATCAACAAACAAAAACAAACAAACAAACAAGCAAACAAGCAAACAAGCAAAAACAAACAGCACCAGCACACAAACATACACACACACACACACACCGACCCAGAACCCACCCACCCATCCACCCGCCCACACACGCACGCACGCACGCACGACAGACAGACAAATAGACAGACAGACAGACAGACAGACAGACAGACAGACAGACAGACAGACAGACAGACAGCCAGCCAGCCAGCCAGCCAGGCAGGCAGGCAGGCAGGCAGGCAGGCAGGAAGGCAGACAGGGGCAGGCAGGCAGACAGACAGACAAGCCGAGAAACAAACAAACAAGCAAACAAACAAACACAAACATACGTGGAAAAATAAAAAAAGAACAACGCGTTCGCACACACACACACACACTCAAGGAAAACAAGAGGGTTCAACACAGGGGCATCCCCCAATCCAAATCAGCAATCTGTAGTGGGGCACCACAAGGCAAACCACTAGCATCTGTCAGGATCTTGCAAATTGATTCTGACTGCAGGGAAGTGCCCTCCCACTAGCTGGCTACAACCGAACTTTGGCACGCCCCAACCCGCCCGACTCCCGACGTCCAAGCCGTCCGAGCGGCTGCTGTTGCCGCGCAGCAGGATGGCCCGCTTCCTTCGAGCCTCGGCCTCCTCGAGGTAGATCTGGCAGAAGCAAACAAAGCCACAAATACAAAGCAAAAACAAAACGTGTTTCCTGATGAAAGCCCTTTCATGCATGTATCTATATATATATATAAGCAAAAAACATGATTGGCGTCCTATTGGTTGGTTTGCTTTCGGTTGGATTCCCTCTGGTGCGATGGTCGGTCGGTCCGTAGTCGGTTGATTGGGGAGTGGGTTCTCAGGAAGACACGCATATGCCCATTGGTTTGATCAGACCTTTGGCTCGAAGCCAAGGATGGTTCATTTCCCCAAATGGGAAACAAATGCGTCTAACTTGGAATAAACAAAAGAAGGAAATCCTGCACATATGGATTGGCATTCCCAAAAATAGCTGGCAAAAGAAGGCTCCGGTTGCTAGCTTTTTTCTGGAAGGTGCCCCCACCCCCACCCCCTGGTAGGGTGCGTTGGAAGGAAAGCAAAACCCAAATTCGGGGGTGGGGGGGAGCCACCGGGACACAGTCTATTCATCAACCAGGAATCCTGGTCAAAACTCCCCAAACGTGAGTCATGGGGACGGTTCCAGGAGCTACCAATGGTTGCCTACAATCGCCACACCAAAGGGTCCACGACCATTCCTACCAACCGCAAGTCAAAGGGTGTTTTGACCATGGGGGATCCAGGTGTACAGGGGAGCTTCCATCGCATGGTCAGCTGCCATCTGAAGAATTAAGTAAACATGGAACCTCCTCAGGCAGGGCAACCCCCCAAACTGGGAACGGTCCAGAAGCCGTGCAAATCCATTGGACAGAGACATGCCAGCATGCAACCTGGCCAGCCGGCCTTTGAAAACTCCCTGGCCGCCCGCCACCTAATCATATCTCCAACGTTTGCGTTCCGTTTGCCATAGTCCAACAAAAACGGCATGAGGAATTTAAACAGTGGCTGTGGTGGGCCTGTGCAGGGTGGGTATGTTGCGTGGTGTCATGAAAACGCCAAACTGGCATATAGCTATGGTATAATGTCGGCCTTTGAAATAAAATAGAAATATGTGGCTGAAGTTACCTAGAACCAGTGTAAAATGTTTGATTATTCGGATTGTCCCCTCGAAAAATCATTGACTTGCCTGATGTGGCTGAAGTCACCCGACCCTAAACAAGAAATGTTTTTGGTTTTTGGAATGATCATATGAGAGCTCTTCTAGGTCCCCCAGTAGAGAGGTTAGAATAAGGGTACCCTTTTTTCTCTGCGGTCTATTTTAGTAGGGGAACCCTCCCCCAAAAAAGGGTAATAGGGCACTACTAGGGGACCTAGTCTTTAAATTGCATCTTCAGGATCGCTTTAGTTTCCCCAATCAACCCGCCTTGCTGCTGACGGCCTGTGCCAAAGACAGCTCCTCACCTCGTGGCCCGACCCCACGTGACCGGGACGTTTCCTGGAGTGCCTTTGGGAAGGCGGCGACACGTATACACCTATAGAAATCCCTACATAATGTCATACATGTATACTAATGTACACCTATACATGTGTATATATATATATATGTATATCTTGTGTACGTATGTGTATATTTAGTTACGTGTTGTATGAGTGTAAGTGTTTGGATGTGTAACATCTGCACCAAAAGGAATCCAAGTGCTGCAACAGTGGATCCTTTATCTCAGCCAACACAACCCCATTTGGAAAGGTTCATAGGTACCTCTTCTCCAGGAGATAAGCAGAAAATAATGCCGACCCTCATGCATGGTAAGCTGCAACAAAACCATTTCTCCCCCCCCCCCCCCCTCAATAGTAAAATAAGGTGGAAAGGATATGCTAAACCAAAGGTCCATTTCCTTCGCACGGATCTGCTTTGAGTCCCGTGTGGGAAATGCGAACCGAAATAAGCAAAAAGGCCGCACGTAGCTCAGTAAGTTTGACCGGCTGATTCATAACCCTGGTTATGAACCACGCAGGTGTGCGTTTGCCCAAGGTTTGTTGATCAGGATTAAACATTTCAACATCAGGCTGAACTCTGTCAGGTTAGCAAAAGGCCTCTGCTTCGATCCACTCCACAGGCCGATGGCAATCTGCCTCCAAAGTAAGTCCTGTTTGCCAACAGTCACGGCTTCTGATTAGTTGCCGTGGTCGCTGTCCTGTTGTGGTTCGTAGCAGGGTTACCAACCAAATTCCATTTGCCAGTTTACCACTATTGTTCCATGGCAAGCAACCAGGAGAGCCATCACGTCAGACCCAAAAAAATTATCGGTGTAACAAAAAAAAAACATCGTGACTACCAGCTGACGTGCATCAATGTGTTCGCACCGGAAAAGGCCAAATGGAGAAATGTCCGATCAAGAAGGGATTTCAAGCTCCAAACCAGGTCTCAGTCCCACCCCCCGCCCCCAAATCTTGAAACCTCAAAACCATTCAATCCCAACCATTCCCGGCCATCCTAAAGGTTGTTCAAACAGCCAGACCCTGGCCGCCTTTCAAGGAAAAACCCAACCAGGCCGTTAAGCCATTCCTTGGCCGGGTCGGGGGTCGCCCCCTCGCTCCCTCGCTCCCTGCATCTCCAGCGGCCGTGGCCAGAGGGCGGCTCCAACTCCTCCCAGGAGCGCTGGCGCAGCACATACACCGCCGGCAGCACCAGCCTGTGGCACACAGGCTGGCTGGCTGGCTGGCTGGCTGGCTGGCTGGCTGGCTGGCTGGCTGGCGGGGTGGGTGGGTGGGAGGTGCGAGGTGGGTGGGGATGAGTGGGTGGCAAGCGGGGCTGGGTGGCTGGCTGGGTGGGTGAGTGGCTGAGTGGGTGGGTGGCTGGCTGGCTGGGTGGGCGGTCGGACGGGCTGGCTGGCTGGCTGGCCTGGCGTGGGTAGGTGGGTGGGCGGGTGGGCGTGCAGGCGGGCGTACTCTTGTTTGTGACAACATGTATTCTTTCCCAAGGACATGTTCGGGGTGGTGCTTTAGGGGAAATGGGCGCATGCGTTTGGAGGGCGAGGGCGTGTTTGCAGGAACAATCGAAAACCAGCATCAACAAGGTTTCGCAACCTATCACTGTACAGGTGCCGTCCACAAGCCACGGATGGCCCATGAGACTCACCTTCCCGCGGGACCTGAAAAATCAAAGGTTCACCGTTTGGTGCCTCGACAAAAAATTGAAAGGGCGGACACTGGAAGGCCAATAGTTCGAAAGGTCGATTCGCATTGAGAACCCGAGCTTCCGCTTGGTTCACTTTGAAGCCTCCGAATAGAGTACCTTCGGCCTTCCACAAACACACAACACATAGTTTTCCAATGTGTTTTCCCCCGAGATTGCCGGAGCAGAGGCCCAGCCCCCAGCCAGAGCCGCCGAGGTGCGCAAACAGGACTAGGCAGGCAAAGACGTTGCCCCAGGTGGCGTGAGAGCTGCCTGGGGCTGAAAGAAATGTGGTCTCGTGGTTTCGCTGGTCTCATGGCTTGAAGCAATAGCCATGTTTGTTGGCTTCATGGCCAAGTGTTACTTTTCCCCCGCCATGTTTCACGACGTCATGGTGCAGCAATTGCTGAGCTGCTCGGGCACTTGGCTCTTGGCGTATATGTGCATCATGGGTCAACTCTGGTGTAGTGTGGAAAATCCAAACAAGCACCATGGCAGAGATCTCGTGTACCGCCGCAAACTGCCGGCATTGGCAGCTCCATGGCGCTGCGCGAAACACACCTGTTCTAGGCGAAACGAAGCACACTCACACGTCCCATTCCCGGCCCTTAGCCCTTCTCAAAAGAGAGCTGGACAAAAAACGTTTGGCGCCAATTTGACACCCCGAGCCTGGGTTGTTGAGCCGTTGAGGCTCGGTACCCTTTTCACCTAAGGCGAAACAAAAGGACGCCTTTTGACACAACCCACCCTCGGCTCAAAGCTCCAATGCCGAGATGCCCTTGTTGAACATGAACACCCACACGGATTCCCTCGGAGCGCATCGCGCCGAGGCAACACGCACCAGGGCAGGAGAGAGCTTTCTTTTGTGCTCGGGGTTGAACAGCTTAGCGGGCCCGCAACATGTAAAAGCCCTTCCCGACATTGTTTTGCAAACAAATCTTGTTGATTACCAGGCTTCACACTTGGATGCGCAAGAAACCTGCCAGCTCCTTTCTAGGCCCAATCAAGCACATCCAAACCTGCCCGCGGTCATGATGCGAAACTTGTCCTGGTCAAGGGGCGCTGTCAGCATCAGCGCCTTGGCCCAGCCCATGTCCCATTTTGATCCGATCACCACAGCAATTTGAAGCAACTACGGGATTTTTGTTTGAGGGTCCCTTTGTGTTTGCTGGTTGAAGGAGAATTCCGAAAGCAAACCAACCAGTTTGGGGCACCCTGGCTGCGAGAGGACCCCCGCTCAGAAGCACAGAAGCGGCGAGCCGAACGCCAAATTGGATGATCCCGAAACTCAGACGCACACCCCGGGTCGACTGAAACATCCCAGCGATTGAAGTAGTACGCCAGTAAAGCCAGAAAAAAAGAGCTGTACGCTTTGTACCGCAAATACCAAGTATACCCGAAGCAAGTGTGCTCTGCCATCTGACACATATGGTGCGCAAGTCTGCAAACAAAAGCGGAAATAAGCAGAACCGGAAATACCAAGGTCCGAGGCGCCGCGGTGGCAGAGAGCCAAAGCAGCGTGGTGGAGGTCTGGACAAGCCAACCGCACTCCTCTGTCCATATGAGTGCAAGATACTCCTCGAGGCGGGGCAAGCTTGCATGAGGCCATCAAAATTACAATGTTTCCACAGTCAAGACTCTCTGCATGTGGGTGCTGGTCATGGTTCTCTCACTAGAAATCCTTACAACAGCTATCTATAAGCCCAAGGGGTCCATGACCATCCCTACTAACCCCCCAAGTAAAAGAGAGTTTGTGTCATGGCACACATGTTCATGGTTGAACCTCGGCACAAAAAGTGCGGTTGTTTTTCATCTCGAGGGAACATGGTCATGGTTTAGACTCCAACAGATTCTCTGGACGTATCTACAAATGGCTGCTGGCAACTCAACATTGGCTTTCAAAACTTTAGCAATGTCAAATGCCTGGCTCTCCGGGAAAATAGACACCTGGGTGGGGGGGAGGGGCGTTGTTCGAGCTAGTGTGGTCAGCTTTGAGAAAGACTCACGTCAAACCTGTTGCTATATATACATATATTATATATAGACAACACGACTTCCAGGCAGGGAAATGCAAATGAGTTTGCCCTACATGTATTCCGGACGGGTCAGCAGGACCATTCCACGTCAACTACAGCCATGGTCTCCTGTTCCGGAGATGGTGTCGCTACGCATCCTTATATACATGCCACGTCACGCCTTTCTCCAAAAAACAGTTGGTTCCTACGATCAGCTGGAAACGGGTGAAAATTTAGACGCCTCCACGAACTGCCATGGTCAAACTTCCTTGTGTGGTCCATGTTCATCGTTCCCCTCATAACATTCGTCGCCAGGGTTGTCTAAAATCCGCTTGAAGAGGTGAATGACCATCCTTACCAACAGAGTGTTTTGACCAAGGCACGACTGGCCAAACTCCGTTTTCGTGTCTGTGAATCCCACGGCCTTCCCGGAATCATCGCACCAGTTGGCTCAGGGGAACAGCTCAACACCAGGGGAACGTCTCAGCGCAATCCGACAATCCGACGATCCCCAAAGTCAGAGTCACAGACCTCCAATGACTGCAGTGGCAACGGCAAAAAGGCTGCCATTTTGTGTGTGCACTGTTGCTTTGACCAGACAATCCCTCCACAGCAACAAACAAAACGTGTCACAGAACAGCTGGGGAGTACCTCACTTGAAGCAGTTTGCACTGACGAAGCCCCGCTGATAGGCGGTCCTGACACTCTGCAACCATGTTCACGAGGCAGCAAACGATCTCCTGACCAAGCCAACCAACTGCGAACCAGATTTAAACTTGTTGCAGCCCTTTGCGGGCACTTCAAAAAGGGGCCTGTAAATGCCCAAGGGGGAGACCACCACGCAGCACGGTCGCCCTGTTTCCACCATTGCCAAAAGTTGGACTAAAGCCTTGAGTCAAAAGGGCACGGCGCGTCAAACATTGACATTCCCAGCATTCTATGTGCCCTTTGGACAGAATGGAAGCTGGACCCCATGTACATGGCTCCACCACTCAGTAGATTTCTTGACCTTCGTGAGCAGGTCGGCGAGTTGATAGGTCGTGGGGATCCATCTCATAGTCGTGGTCCAGCAGAGCTCCTTGCCCCACCGTGCAAACTCCCCATCCAGCAACTGTCGTAGAGCCGAGAGGTCGATCAGCAACCGCTTTTCCGAAGGGGCTTTGGGACCCCCTTCGCGTTTGATCGCGTCATAGAGCGATCGGCAGTCTGTCAGCGGGACTATGGGGATGATGTCCCGGCACGACCCTTCGTCGAGTCCACCTCGTCGAAGAGCACCTGCAAGGCTTGCCCGGAACGCCATAGCGTCCTCAATGCCTTCCAGAGCTGCCATCGTTTCCGCCGCAAACGTGCTCCTGCAGACCCGAGGGCATGCATGAGACTTCCACTCGCAGATCACCGCCTTGCTCTTCTCACCCTCCAGGACGTTCCGGTGCGCCATCACCAGCACATGCCCCAGTTGTGAGTAGACGCCCTGGTCAACGATGCCCTTGTTGATGTCAAAGTCCGCCTCCTTGCCGTGGGCCTTGTAGAAGTCCTCCATGCGCTCCTCCGGAACGTTTGCCCAAGCCGCGTCGTGGAAGACCAGCAGAACCATATCGCTCCATTTGCCACTGCCGATCTTCTGGTACTTCAACACCTCGCCCTTGCACTCCTGCGCCAGCTTGACGATCTTGTTAGTCTCCTTGACGTCGCCGTAGGTTGGTGCCCGCTGCTTCCTCTGAGCCATCGACACCCCCGTCTGCAGGTCCGGTCGGGTCTGAGATGCCAACCACGAGAGCCCCCCGACCACCGACTGGTTGTCCATCTTGGTCACCTCGTCTGCAAGTTCCTCCGCGTCGTACTCCTTGGGCATCTCCGTAGTTTCCAGCCTCGACTTCACGTAGCTGCATTGACCCAATTCGATGACGCCGTCCCCCTGCTTGATCTGGGACCCGATATACTCGAACTCCTTGTCCTCCCACTCCGCAATGGGGAAGATCCCAGACAGGTTCTTCTTGAGCTGGACCAGCTCTTGGGGGGCCGCCGCGATCAGGATATCGTCCACGTGTGTAACCAACGCTCCCCGTAGGACACCTTCTGCATTCCGCAACAGAAAGAAGCAGCTATCCAAAGGGTGCTGCTCCAACTTCAGCGTCTCGCTGTTAATCACGAAGTCCAGTGCCAGGAGCTCCTTCGCCAGCCGTTTCCACCAAAGCCGTGGTGAGTTCGCCAGGCCGAAGATGCCCTTCACCACCTCTACCAACTGGTTCGGCTCCATCTCAGGTAACCCACGTACTGGTTGTCGCATGTAGAGACCTCGTCGGGACTCCTCGCCGTTGAGAAAGGCCGCCTGCACGTCTCCCGCTGCTAACTCCCAGTCCTCCTGTGCCGCGATCAGCAATAACGTAGACAGCGAGGTCTTGCTCACTGTCGGTGCCTCCGTCTCCATTCCTCCGCCAGTAAGATCAGGGTCGCGATGGCCAGCAATGCATAGCCTCGCCTTTGGTTTGGGAGGAACAGCAGGGTCCTCGCGTCGTTTCGCCACGTTCTTGTCCCTGTAGGCAAACCGGAGTTCAGGATCCTCGACGGGTGAACCTTATTCACCACCTCCTCACTCTCCTGGGCCGAGAGGATCCGCACCGCGCCGTACTTGACGTGCTCGTCCCATTGTTTCTTCTCCGCAGCAACGTACAACTCCTTCTCGGCGGCCGGGATGTCGTTCCAAGCCACCTCCTTGTCACGCTGCCTCGCAATAGTCTTGGGGGTGCGCTTGTGCGTCGTCCACATCGCCTCGTCCACATCCTGGATGTCGTCACCCTCCGACTTGTCCACATAGGCGTTGACGAGGTCCATCCCCGTAATCTCCTCATCTGGCGGAGCCACACTCGGTGAGTACTCGTCTTCCCCGTCGCGCAGGTCGTCCTCGACAGCGTGAGGCACCGGCCCCTTTTGACGCATCCTCCTCCGGGGCACGCCATCCGGCCATTGCCGCTTCTGCTTCCTGTAGGCCTCCGCATCCCCGTCCTCCATGAGGTTGCTCGCATCGTGGAAGATCTCCTCGTCGTCCACTCCGTCATCGTCGATTCGTTCCAAAAGCTGCCGTAGGTCCTTCTGCATGGACTGCGCCTGGAAGAGCGTGCCCAACTCACTTGACTCCGCTGGTCGTAGATGCTCTTGGGCACAAAGCAAACATCGTCCACCACGGGATACCCATACTGAACCGCCCTCGGCCCCCACCACCGTGCCTGGGCCGATCCATTGTCCTGCACCTTGTCGTTGGCTGCCAGCACCGCCCGGAGTCTTCTTGACCCTGTAGATGTAGACAATGTCCCCGGTCTGGTACTCGTTCTTCTTCACGCGTGGCCGTCCCAAAGCCGCCCGACGCACCGCCTCCGTCGCCTGACTCTCGAAGAAAGCCATTCTTGCTGCTCGTTGGATAGCCATCTTCCTGCTCCATGCACCGCCCGCAGTGTCTGCTGGTAGTAGTTCTTGTCCTCCGTCTGCGAGTCCATCCTCCATGCGAGGTTGTACTCCAAGTACCCATTGTGCCGGGGAGTACCCGTGCCGCCGCCGAAGGTTGTTCTTGGCCTGCACCACCTGAAGCAACGCCCATTCCGCCTCCTGGAAGTTGATGTTTTCGTGTTCCACCACCTTCTCCCACATCGTACGCAGCCAACCTTGCTGTCGCTCAAGTTGTCCAAGCTGCCAATGGGCCTGTCCTGCAATGTACTTCACGTGGATCCCGCGGTTTTCCATCTCGTCAACAAAGTTCTTCTGAAATCCCCGCTCCTGGTCACAGACCATCCGCTTAGGCATGCCGGCCCACTCCAACCAAAGTTGACGAACAGACTCTGCAAGATCCTCGGAGAGCTTGCTCTGGATTTTCCGGCAAACGTGGTAGCCCGAGGCCAAATCCATGACCGACAGGATAGAGTGTTTAACCTTGCCTTGGTCATAGAGGTAAAAGAGGTCGACCGCCACCTCGTCATTGAAGTCCATAGGCAGCACAGTCTTCGCGGGTCGTTGTGTCCCCGGTCGCCTCAACCTCTGGCACGTGTCACACCTTAGCCCCTGCGCACCCTTGATGGCCTCCTCCGTCGCACCACATAGCCGTAGATGTCGCGTCAAGTCCTTGTTGCTGGGGTGTCCAAGGTTCTGGTGGATCCGCCGGAGCGCCGAAGCGGTAGCGGCCGAAGTAGCCTTCGGGAGCTTGATGCCGGAAGCCCCCACCAAGTCATCCTCCGGTTGTTGATCTCCACCAACGTCCTCCTCCCCTGCGTCCGCCACATAGGCCGTCACGTAGGAGCTGTCCACTTTGCATGTTGCTTCTACCACCGCCCGTGCAAAACTCCAGGTATAACATGCTGAAGGTGCCGTATTCGCCCCTGCTGTCTGGCCACGGTCATGTCGTTTGTCGCATCTCCTGGCCAGTTCGTGGTGGTAGATCTCAGAGCTGACCAAAAGTTTGGTCGGCTTCTTCAGGAGCTTGCCATCGGACTTGCCCTTCAGGCCGTAGGCGCACATGTCGAGGTTGCACTCCAGGAGATGGTAGTCCTTGATGATAGACGTCATCCTAGGGGTATGCCACAGTTCACTCTGGGCGGGATTCTCGATGATGATGTGCCTACCACCACTCCGCTGCAACCGCGCACACTCCTCCGCGAACTCCTGGTCACGTTGTCGGAGTCGCCGAAGTTGGTTCGCCCTGCCGTAGTAGTTGATCCTCGTCCAAGGACTCCATAAGGTGCAAGGGGGTGCCAACCAAACCAGCTTCGGCTTAAACTTCCGGATGTCCTCAAGGATATTCTCCCTGACCTCCTTGATGCGGATGTCGTGGCCGAGTAGAAGATCACGCGGTTCCATAACGTCGTACCCCTTCGCCGCGAAGGCCTGCGTGATGTGGTTCTTACCGGCAAAGACCTCCAGCACGTAGGGTTGTCCCTCCTCCTCAAACCTCGGGAGCACTGTCGCGTTGTACAGGTCCTTGATCGGCTCGACCACCGCCTCGTTAGCCTCCACCATGACGGGCCCAGCCAGTGCCACTGCCGTACTCAAAAATGCCTGCCACACCTTCCGCGTCCAACTGCCGATCATCTTCCGCGTGGAGTTCTTGACCTTCCGTCCCCGGCGTGAGTTGATCCTGTGCTCAATGTCATCGTCATAGTCCAGGTTGTCCTCGTTCACCGTGAGGTCGCCGCTGCTCTCCCGGGGCTCCCCGATCTTCTCAAACTTCGCTACTGCCTTCTGCTTGGCTCGCCCTTCTCTCACTGCCCAGTAGCGTCTGCGCTTCCACTGCGACCGGGAGGATCCAGCCGTTGCTTCTGTCGGAGGATTGCCAACTGTGTCTCCAACTCCAGGATCTTCTTGTTGGCGTCCGCATCCGTCTCCGAGTCCATGGGATCCGCCTGCAGCCAGGACCCGTCCGAGTCGCTCGTCGCGGGCGTGGCCCTCTTCGCAGTCGTAGTAGACGTCATCGCCTTCTTGCGAATCGTCGGCTTGAAGTCCATCGTGCTCTTGGGGGGCGCCACCACCGCCGCTTCCTCCGGGTCGATGACTTCCTCCTCGAGAGCCTCCAATTCCATCCACCGCTTTGCCCACGTTGCAAACCGTACCAGTGCCGCCGCCGGGGTCTCGTTCTTGGATACCTCCTCCACCGCCCAGAGCCGGTAGTCCATCGGGATCGCCTCGTAGGTCTTCCCCTTGTAGCGTCCGAAGGAGATCTCTTCCTTGCTGTGGCCGCCCTCCGCATAGCGTAGAGCTTGGATGAGGCATCCCTTGTTGGCCGTTGCCGGAACTCGGAGTTTCTTCTTGTTGCACATCTCCCGCAGCTCGCCCACCGTGAACCGCGTGTAGCCCTTGGCCAGCTCCTCCGTTTTGGTCATATGCTTCTTGAGGATCTCCTGCAACTCCGGCACCGTTGCCTTCTGGTCGTAGTCGATGAGCAAATCGTCCAACTTCTCCACGAGCTCGGCCCTCTTCATCTTCCATGGCTTCAGCTCGGGCATATAGCGAATTGGGGGGCGGTCCACCGCCAGTTCCGTCCTTCTCTCGGATAGCTCGAGGGATCAGGCTTCGGCCGATCCACAACTCATCAACCCTGCACAACTCATTGCGTGTCCAATCGTGGGTCTGGTGAGTCCACTCGCATGTCCGGCAGGATATCATGACCGCTTCGCACTGGCTCCCCAACGATTCCAGCAGCATTTGTTTCAACTCAACATTGGTGGTCTGCCAAGCACCAGGGGAAAAAGGCCTCCTCCGTGGTACCATGTGAATCCGCACAAAATGGGTGTCGGTTTCAATCCAGAAGTCTTTGGAAATGCTGCTCCCCGACCACCAAGCCCAAAACCAGTCAACATCCAGTAGGGGGGCCACCAATTTGTCCTTGTGAGCCTGCTCAACCTTCTTGGGGTAGAATATGTGGTTGACCCTCATATCGTTCCCCGCTCCCCCATGCACCATGTAGCACGATCGGGCTGGTCGGTGAACATCACACTCCACCACCGACCAATCCACGGCCTCCGGCCAGGATGGCCAGCAAATGCCACCTCCGGTGACAACTACCATGGGGTGCCCCGTCTCGGTCTGGCCAAGCTTGTAGCCCGCAACGCCGAGCTCACTGAAGTCCGCCACGTGCTTGCTGATGTCATAGCACATGCCGAGGCCCGCCAAAACATTCCTGCTCAACAGCAACGGCAGGACACACTGGACCTCCGCGATCTTCAGGATAAAGGGTGCTCCATTGATCTGCAGCCAAACCACCAGGGCACGCTCAGAACGAAAAATGTCCGGCCCACCAAACTTGAAGTTCTCCTCCTGTGCCATGAAGAAGTACGGGATGTTGTTTTCCTTCGCCTTCCGCACCATCCGCCGGATCCACGGTCGCCCCGCAACCGTCCTGCTACACGCGCAATCAGTGATGCCGTAGAGCTCGGTCTCCGTCGTGCTGTCAGTCATGTAGGCGACGTGGCAGAACTTCACCTGGTGTGCGTCCCGCTTGTCACCCTGCGGGTTCTTCTGGTTGAGGGGGCACTCCGGGTCCTTGTGCCAGTGCCCCTTCTTCTTGCACGCGGAGCAGTAGGACCTCGCCTTGGCCGCCTTGATGCGCTCCTCCTGGTTCGCCTTCGGATTAATGCCCCTCGCGTTCATGATGGTGCGGTACTTGGACTTCGCGTTCTGGTAGGTCACATATGCCTCCTCCGCCTCTTCATCGATGCCCTCCACGTCCATGTCCAGCTCCGACTCCTCGTCCTCGGACTGTCCCTCCCCCAGCTCCTCGGTCACATAGGCCTGCTGACCCTTCTTGTTCTGGTCGTACTTATCGTTGTTCCGTCCCCGATGAGATTCCCAAAGTCGACGATTCATCCTGTCCTGGATGATGGCCGCGTCCTGGAGCTTGTAGAGGTTGTAGTCGTTGCCCGTGGATGAGAGGAGGTTGAGCTCGGTCGCATTGTCGAGGCGAAGTTTATCCATATACCACCAAGCCAGGCAGACGTCAGGCAAAGCGCAACCCACCTCCTTCAGCCTGGCGGCCTGTCGGTCAAACTCCTGGTTGAACTCCTTCACGTCCTGGTTGTTGTGCTTCTTAAGGTTCTTGAAGAAGTCCGTCATGTACTTGCCCACCTTGATCACCTCGCGGTCCAAGTAGCGATTGCGGATCCAGTCGATGAAGTAGTCCATGCCAGAGTCCCCGTCCAGCCATTCCACATCGAGCTCCTCCGCGTCACGCCATGCCCGTCCCGTGAGGTGGTTGTACAACATCAAGGCCTGCTTGTAGCTCTTGATCTTCGTGACCCGCCGCCAAGCCTCGATCTTCCGGAGATAGCCCCTTGCCTTCACACCGTCCCTGTCGTCCTCTGCCGAAAACTCCGGGACCAGGATCTTGTCCGCGCCGCCGCCGCGATCGCGATCTTCCTCCCACGACCAAGCACTGCTTTCTCGCCGAGAACCAGGTTGCCCTCGTAGTTCCCAGCGTAGTCGTTCTTGTTCATACCACTCATGCCACTCCGCAGCAGTCCACTGATCCGCCCACGACACAGACCGCGCTGAGCCCCCGTTGACTGACCCATTCAGTACATCCTCAGCAGCCTCCTGTGGCTCGGGCCCCCTGTCCTCACCGAACTCCTCGAAGTCCATGGAGTTGCCGTCACCGCAGCACCAAGCCCGAAAAGGGGGCACAGATCACACCCTCAAGGTTCACCACCAAGCCGTAGGCGAGCAGCAGAACGTCCGGACCGACAACCAGTGCCACCGTAGTTGTTCAGCTCCGCTACCAATGTAAATGCCCAAGGGGGAGACCACCACGCAGCACGGTCGCCCTGTTTCCACCATTGCCAAAAGTTGGACTAAAGCCTTGAGTCAAAAGGGCACGGCGCGTCAAACATTGACAGGGCCGAAAAGCAGAAAGTGCCTTTTGACAGTGCCACCCTCTGGAGTCTGCCAATCACCCGCACAAACTCAACTCCAGTCTGCAAAGCCGAAGCTTTAGGCAACTGTTCGAATTACCCGGGTCATGCCCAAAACGCACACACGCGCAAACCAATCAAGGTCGTGGGAGCAATCATCTTACGGTTCAGCTCGCCATGGCAAATTCTGGAAAGGTCCAAGGCGCCTTGGTATCATCATGCTCCTCTTCTTCATCTCTTTCTTCCTCTTTTGGTGGCGCTATGTTCATCCCGCCTGGGCCAGATTGGCAATTGTTCTCTCGTGAGAAAGCCAAACCTCGCAATGACATGCGGACAGTGGCGAAGCCGAGGTCGACCCCGCCAACCGACCCGCAAGACTTTCTGGGCCTTTGGACGGCACCAGACTGAAGTAGCTAGTGCGTTTCACACCGGAACTGCCTCAATGAAGACTCATGGCCTGGAGATGTAGAGCCAAGGTGTACACGGTATGCAGGCAATGTATATATATATGTATAATACACATGGTCTACCCTCGGAAAGGTCATGGTCAGGAACATCACACCCCCCCAGTTGGTTTAGGGTTGGCTTGAATGGTTCAGAATGTTTCAAGGGCGTGGGCTAAGAGTGGTTTAGTTGGTTTGGGGTTGGCTTAGGGTTGGTTGTGCAGACTATACGGGGGTGGCCTTAACACGACACCCGAGACCATGTTTGTCTAATGCCCCGCGCGTATGTATGTATGTATGTATGTATGTATGTAGGTAGGTAGGTAGGTAGGTAGGTAGGTAGGTATGTATGTATGTATCTATGTATCTATGTATCTATGTATCTGTGTATATGTATCTATGTATCTATGTATCTATGTAATGTAATGTAATGTAATGCAATGTAATGTAACGTAATGTAATGTAATGTGTTGTAATGTATGTATGTATGTGTGGGCGTATGGGCTGTAATGTAATGTAATATAATGTAATGTAATATAATGCGATGCGATGCGATGCAATGCAATGCAATGCAACGTAACCTGATGTAATGTAGTGTATGTATGCATGCGTGTGTCCGTATGTATGATTGTATGTATGTATGTATGTATGTATGTATGTATGTATGTATGTATGTATGTATGTATGTATGTATGTGTGTGTGTGTGTATGTATGTAGGTACGTACGTACGTACGTACGTACGTATGTATGTATGTATGTATGTCTGTCTGTCTGTCTGTCTGTGTGTGTATGTATGTATGTATGTATGTATGTATGTATGTATGTAGGTAAGTAGGTAGGTTAGGTACGTATGTATGTCAGTGGGCAGGTATGTATGTAGGTAGGTAGGCAGGTATGTATGTATGTACGTGTTCATGCAATGTACTGGACTGCAATGTACGGCAATGTGATGTAATGTTCTGTAATGTATGTAACGTACTGTGATGTACTGTAATGTACAGTAATGTACTGTAATGTACTGTGATGTATAATGTTACGTTATGTTATGTTATGGTATGTATGTTATGTTCTGGTATGGATGATGTTATGTATGTTATGCATTGTATGTACGGTCTGTGTCTAATGTGTGATGCATGTCATGCATGTAATACATGTAATGCACGTAAGGCGTCTAATGCGTGCAATGCATGTAATGCATGTAATGCACGTAATGCATATGATGGATGTAATGTATGCAATGCGTGTAGTGAGTGTGTGTGTAATGTATGTGGTGTGTGTGTGTGCTTATGATGTATGTACTATGTGTGATGTGTGTAAAGTATGTAATGTATGTAATGCATGTAATGTATGCAATGTATGTAATGTATGTAATGTATGTAATGTATGTAATGTATGTAATGTATGACAGTATGACAGTATGTAATGTATGTAATGTACGTAATGTATGTAATGTATGTAATGTATGTATTGTTTACAGAGTGTGTTATATACGTAATGTATGTAGGTATGTAGATATGTAGGTATGTAGGTAGGTAGGTAGGTAGGTAGGTAGGCAGGTAGGTATGAATGTATGCATGCATGCATTTATGTGTGTATGAATGTATTCCTACATGGCTCTTCACGAGCAAGAGATGAGATTACATTGGGAAAATGTGCCAAGCTGCGTCGGGCTTGGTTCAGCCGCGCGAGGGAATACTCCAGCCACCTGATGGGGTACCCAGGGGAACACTATTTGAGTCATTTGGGGGCCAGGAATCTTGATCAGCTCTAATATGGCTGCTGGTCACCTGAGCACCGGAACAAGAGGGCCCAAGGCAAAAGACGTTTGCGGGTCTGTGCGCCTTCTTTACTCAATTTCTTGAACAGGGCCTCTACAAGTATGGGTCTGCATATGGTTGTCTATCTGCGCATGTCATGGTTTTGTTGGGCTCATCCAAGGTTGGGGATGCTTGACGTATTTGGGCTCAGCAGCAGGGTCTATCGAGGAGTTCCAAAACACCCTCTTTGTGGAGGCTTGAATGGCAGCTGCCCCAACAGTCCTCAAGACTCAAACTTTGTTCGGACCTCCCCCCAAAGAAGTGATTTTGGGACCCGACACAAGCCAGCACGCGGAATATGATGACCCGTGGTGTTCCGAGTGGAGTGGCCCAACGAAAAACTGAACTTGTTGTTTGCCTTCACCAAAAGTGAGCAAAATCCAAAAACTCCGGAAGTGAGTGGGTCTACATCACACCCAAAACATGTTGCACATCCAGCTAAACTCAACAGATCGCGTGGCCATGCATCCACAAGCCCTTGTATTAGGGTCACCCCATAAATATGAAGCCGCTAACAGCCCAATTCGTCGTGACACCCTGGCAAATGTTCGAGGGTGGTACCCGCCGGGAAGCCACGGGAAGGGAATGGTGATACGTGGACAATAGAAAGCAACACTCAGTGAACTAGTGCAAAGGAATGCCAAACCGATTCTAAAAAGTACTGGGTCAGCTCAAAGACATACTTAACCATGCGCAAGGCAATTCTCGAGACTGCTAAGCCAGTACTCAGAAATATTGAACCAATACTAAACAAATCCTAGGTGGTACGGCCCTGTGCCATCCTAAAGGAATACGAAACCAAGTCTAAAGACTACCGCGCCAGCACAATTGTGAACAATAGTGGGCCAGCTCATCCGAATAATAAACCAAGTAATTATTGCTGGGAAAGGCTACTTGAGCGGGCAACTCTAACCCCCAGTTCGTTTTTGGATTTGCCTCTATTGAGAGCCTCTACTTTGTTTGGGGGGGGAGCCCTTTGCCCGCCACTACAACACATTCATGAGGAAACTAGTGAGTCTCAGGGGCGCAAATCCGACGATCCCGATCCCTTCGCGCCTGTCCAGCTTCAACTTGCATCGTATCAGCATCAGGATGCCCCAAAAGGGCAGGATAAGGATCATGCCTCGGCACATTAGACTCCTCAAAGTCACAAGGGCTGGCCGCGGCAAAGAACGTAAATATTCAGCATCCCGTCACTGGATGGCTCCCTGCAGCCTGTGTCTACTTGGAGCATCACACTCTGCACACAACATGTGGGTCACATCTAAATGAGACTATGTGGCGGTTTGGTTTGCACCCTTCCCCGTAGTCTACTTTTTGATTATACTATCTATGTACATATATATATATATATATGTATATAGCTTTTGCCCAGCGCGTATTTTATCACCCGCAACGGTCACAACATCAGCATCAAAGGGCAAAACAGAATCCCACAGAGCCGGGAATGACCCCCCCCCCTTCTGACCCCCAATTTGCCTGGTTGATCGCTCGGCTGGAGTCTACAACATTGACAGCTGAGGCAACGGCTGTGGCCCTGCATGTGCATTTATCTCAAGAGAACAACCCTTCTGGACCCCTTCAAGCGCAGGAAATCAGTTATTATGATCTACAAACTGGAAGCTAGGGTCCCCAAGCAAGCGAGCCCAAAGCCGGGCTCCTTTCAACTTGATCTTGGCTCGCATGCCGAGGTGCCCAAGAGCATAATCCACGCACCCACCAGCCATGTGTACTGCACTTCAATACAGTCCTCGCACTCCATCTCCGTCTGCGGCACAAAGGGGTCCTTTGGTCGACGAGTCAAGTCGATGAGTCGCCGCTTTCTTGCTGGTTCTCAGCAAGGAATGAGAAATGGACTGAGCCCGAGAAAACCCATCCGGGATGGTTTCATTAGGGACTCCCAAAACGGTTCATTCCCGAAGCCGAGACAACCATCCCCTATGGTTTCCTGGGGAATTCCACAACGGTCTCATTCCCACCCGGAACGGTCACCAAGGAGCTGAGAACTGGATGGTGTTGAGCCCGAAGGGCCACACCAGTGCCAGCACCAGCAGCAGGGCATCGATGCGGCCCATGTAGGTGTCCTCGGTGGAGGGTTTAACCCCCAAAACCCTCACCCATAAGAGAAACTTATATGTATATATCCTATTCTATATCTATATATATATATAATATGGGGATTATAGAATTACCCCGTTAGTTGTCCTCAGCCCAGGTGGGTTGACCTTTGGCTTGTTGGTTTTGTCATTCACATTGGGGTTGTTTGCAAGCACCACAACCAATTGGGGCACCTCAAAAGGAACCTGAAAGGGGGCTGGTACCCTTTGATTCGTTGGCTACCACACCTTTTCTTTTTGGAAGAAAGTTCATGGTCGTGGCAAATCGGACCCTTTCTGTGATGAGGGAATTTGATTCCAATCCCTGTGACTACTACGTCACTTTCAACAGGTTCCCTTGGTCCCGTTTCCCACAAAACTTTCCTCAGGTCGCAAGACCTCGACATAGGGGTATGTGTGAAAAGGAGGGGGGGCCGGAATGGCAGTTGTTCTGTTGGTTTCCCCTTTAATAAACCAGTCTGCAAAGTGGTAGCCTCAAAAAAACAACTCAAACAAACAAACAAACAAACAAACAAACAAACAAACAAACAAACAAACACACGCACAGAAACACACACACACACACACACACACACACACACACACACACACACACACAGACACAGACACAGACACAGACACAGACACAGACACAGACACAGACACAGACACAGACACAGACACAGACACAGACACAGACACAGACACAGACACAGACACAGACACAGACACAGACACAGACACGCACGCACGCACGCACACGCACAAACGCACAAACGCACAAACGCACAAACGCACAAACGCACAAACGCACAAACGCACAAACGCACAAACGCACAAACGCACAAACGCACAAACGCACACGCACACAGAGACAGACCTGCCAAGCTGCGTGGTGTGATCTGATCTCCTCCTTGACATGATCAAATACATCCAGGCGCACTGACTGTGACTCCTGAGTCGAGAAGCCGAAAGTGTCGACGGCAGAATGGAGCGAAGTGGCTGTGGGTCAAAAATGGGTGCCCAAAATGGGTTGCCCTGGTAAATGGAACCAAGGACTAAAGCCTGGGTCCTCTGGTGGTTTAATTTTGACCCACACCCAAGTGTTTGAGTCCAAGGAGAGAACAAAAGGCCCTCTACCCCTCAGAAGGTTCCCGAAAAGGGCTCTCTGAGAACTTTCTCAGTACGCTGCAGTTTACCTCTGGCGGTGTTGTGATGGCTCGTGGCTGGTTCAATTGCAATAAATTTTGAGGGGATCCACCATAGCTTCAAGTTTTTCTACTAGCTCCAAGAACCTTAAGCTGAGGGCTTCTCAGTACATTGGGCCCCAGAACAGGAGGACGCAAGCTTCAAGCATTCGGCAAACAAGAGCTTGCGAGGGAAATCAACCAACAACGATCCACACCTGGCCCCATAGCCGCGACCAGAAGCACATGCATGCCGCATGGAACAAGCAAATTGAGTCAATCCGAATCCTCCAGTTCTCTTCGACTCTGAGACAAGTTGCCAGCTGGTAGGCTCGCCGCCTGCCACAAAGGCAAGAAAAAAGCACCAGGTCATGGAGAGCCAATCCGCATCTTCCCTTCTTTCCTACAATCATGGGAGGGTGTTGGAAGACTAGCACTACCGCTTTAGTGATTCGGATAAGCCTCTTTGGGACTGTATAACAAATATGGCCGACATCGAACCAGTGGCCATCTCAGAATCTGACGGCCTTAACTTGCAGTGGCAGTTTGGGGCGTGGACAAAAGTCTGCCCAGCGACGTGTTGGGTTACAGAAATGGCTTGCAGAACGAGCTTTTTGGAACTCTGGACCTCGTGTCGAGCAGCCTGACTTTGTCCGCTAAGCTTTGAGAAGAGACACAGCAGGAAATCGTTCCGAGTGGCTCTCTGAAAGGTGAGACAGGGTTCCTGAAAGCAATTCTCAAAAGTGAACTTTCAACGTTGCAAGGATTCAACATTCGACGGCTGTGTTTGGCTTGAAGAGGCAGCTCGAAGGATCAACCTTCAAGCGAGAAGGGGGAAAAAAACAAAAAACAAAAACGAAACCGGGCCCTTCTTAAAGCACCCAATCTGACTCAGTTCATCATCTTTACATGGTCAAAGAAAAATGAAAGGGGAACTTGTTCTTTGAGGTCATTCTCAGGCTCACCTCCTGTTGAGAGGGGTCATGTTCCCAACACCCAGCTGAGCACCGCACGCCCATCGGATCTGCTCTTGTTGGTGCACGTGGCTCTGCCCGATCTCCACCATCTGCCCGACCTGGTCACTACAACGACTCCGCCAGCAGTAGAAGTAGGAGTAGTAGGAAGAGTAGGAACAGTGGAAAAGAAGTAGCAGTAGGAGCAGTAGGAGCAGTAGGAGCAGCAGTAGCACTAAGAGCAGTAGGAGCAGTAGGAGGAGCAGTAGGAGAACTGGTGGTGGTGGTGGTGGTTGTGGTGGTGGTAGCAAGCAAGCGAGAGCTGGTGGTGGCAAGCAAGCAAGCAAGCAAGCAAGCAAGCAAGCAAGCAAGCCAGCCAGCCAGCCAGCCAGCCAGCCAGCCAGGCAGGCAGGCCAGGCAGCCAGCCAGCCAGCCAGCCAGCCGCAGTAGCAGTAGCAGTAGCAGTAGCAGCAGTACCAGTAGAAGCAGTAGCAGCACGAGGATCACGATGACAATGACGACGGCAACAACGACAATTGCAACGGCGACAAGTGATACGACGGTAGCACCAACACACCACGTCTGGTACAATAAGATTGAAAAGTTCAATACTAGCACATTGGTGAGGCAATCCCCCTTTGTAGATAGTGGGAGAAAGGCCTTGCCGTAACCTACTCGATTGCTTGCTTTGCTACTTGTCTCTTATATAGTGTAAACACCCTTTGACTCCAAGACTTTCCTGGTGAAACTACCCACCCCTCACACCGCCCGAACATCCGACAACCTGGCGGGCAAATCCACCCAAAAGCCCCTTGCCTTCACCCCCACCCAAAGGCAACCCCCAAGATGCAACAAATGGATCCCGCGAATTATCACCGGACGGTCACATGGCACTGGGCGCCCGCGCATTCTGCACCTGGTCCAGAAACGCACCAATCGCCCCCAGCCGCAGCGCCGCAGACATGGCGCTCTTGCAGCGCGCGAGCTCTGGGCAAGGTCGCGATGCGGAGTTGCGCGGAGAGCGAGAGTTGTCCATGTTGAATGGATACTGCATGACATTGCGCTGGGAATGGCCAGCTTGGCTTGGTGTCTGCTGAGCTTGGCTGGTGAGGCTGATGCTGGAAGGAAGGCCTGTTCAGTCCTGCGTTGTTGGAGGAAGCTGTTCAAATATTGGGCTTCAAGCTCGATTATGCTGCAGGTCATGGATTCTCTGGTAGACATCATGTTCACGGGGACATACGGGGACCTTTGTCTGCCAAAGAATTGTTCGAGGATGGTCCAACCAAACTCATGGCCGTGTGAACATATGTTGTCTAAAGGATACCCTGTTTCGTGTTGCAAGAAAAACCAAAGGGAACCACATTTGTTTTTGTTGGGGGGGGGTCCACTCTGTAAACCCCAGACAAGTTGTGCGGTTCCTCGATTTTGCAGGAAATTTCGGAGGGTCCGCCATGATCTGCCCACACCAACCATACAAATAGCATGTTTGGTTCTCCGTCCCCCATGTCCCAAACCCCAAATGGACCATAGACGAATGTCGACTCGGACTGATCAACCAAGATACGGGCATGTGATGGAAAAATGTGCAGGATTCGCTCTTAATATGGGACTTGTCGACCAAAACAAAACAGGGCTTGTTCATGGTGAGTTCCGACTGGACGCTTTGACCAAACCTTACGTGTGTGGTGTCGCAATCCCACACCGTACTGGACTAACGGGGAACTCTGGCACACTTCATCCCAGCCATCCCATTTCAGAACGCATTTTACCCCCAATTTTGGGCTAACAAATGGGGTACCAAGCGCGTCCGCCTTCGCGATCTCCTCCGGCTTCTCGGCCTTTTCAGCTAGTGGCCCGGCAGAAAGCGCGTCGAGGTTTCCCCGGCAGGTGGGGGTTTGGGCTCGCAACTGGTGCCTTTTTCCGAGGCACAGTCAAAATCACGAAGGGCCCCGGGAAAAAAGAAAGAAAAGAGGTTCTGTCACCCCTGACATATTGAAATCTGTCACGCCTGGCATGTTGAAATCTGTCACCGCCTGGCTGCGGTTGAATGTTGGAGCTCGTTCCCCATATCCCGAACCCCAAATGGACCATGGACAAGTCCTGGTATTCGTCCGAATGTCATATGGTCCAGGAATCTGTCCAGGCAAACTTGAAAATCAAGGTTCAACTAGTTGTTCGCATTTAGACTAGTAGTCCGAAGCTGGAAAGTTGTTGTTTTTGAGCCTGGACAGAGGAAAGATATTGGCTCGTTCAACCCTTCGAGGAAATAAGCTCCAGAATGCGAAGCGCTTGTTTCTGACACACTTCTACAAGCGATGGTCTGATCAAGCTCGACACAATGACTTGCTCATGGGACACATATCAATTATCGACAATTTTGGGTGCGTGGTAATCAATTCTGTAAGGCGTGTCCTCTTCATCTGCAATCTGCCGCTTGAACTGACTAAGTGAATCATGGTTGCAACATCTCAGCGAGGGGCACACCTAGATTGCAGCTGCTGTATCATTCTGCTTTGCTCCCTTGCTGGCAGACTGCAAGATACCGACTTCAGCAAGCAGTCGCAGATCAGCTTCAAGGTTCCCTTGACACTGATATGCGACGGCTTGCTGTGATCCTGCATCTCCTACATGAGGCCCGCACCTCGCAGCAGAATCTGCGACTTCAGACACGGAGACCCAGCTTACCAGCTGTAGCTGAAAAACCTCGTCGGGACGCTCTCGCCTCTTTCAGCTGTCAGTTCTCGGAGTCCGAAGCAACGACAGCGTCCCGAATGCCTGAAGGGCCCACTCGTTCACCTCCCCAAGCTTGGCCACTTCGTGTCTGCGGATCGGCGTCTTGGCTTACAATGGGAGAGGATCCAACGGACCCTTGAAATAGTGCCAGAGAGCCCAGGCATGCTTTGAGCGCTTGAGCCCGTGTGCTTCGTAGACTCTGGTGCTAGACAACTCCCAGAATACACTCCTCCATCCATGAAATCTGTGGGCAATTAAATTCCTCCAGCCATCAACCCAAAAAGAAAGCAGTACGTGCCTTTTTCGTGCGCCATACAAATTGGGCGCATACGCACGACAAAGGGTCCATGCACAAATAAGGGTTCATCCATCAATCAACATGCCTCGATGTGGCCTCCCGTAAAACACGGGGATGGGAAGACCTCTCTCCACAGCTGTCCCTTTGTAACACTCGCATCTAACTGAGTCTACCCTTCTTGCGATTTGTGTGAAAGGGATTCCAATTATATGGGAAAAGAACAATTGTAGGGAAGGATCTATCTTGCTCTTTGCGGAAAGCGTCGGTTGACTTGGAATTGTGGCCAATGTCAGGTACCGCCCTCCAAGGAACTGAATGCTGATAGAAGCCGACCACGTGACTCGGAATCAACGAATAACTGGACTGCCTCTGCCAGATCCAGCTTGCCCGTGGCTGGCCTAGGGTCGCAGTGGGAAAGTCATCTCTTTGTTTTGGGGACTCAACTCACACGTTCTCCCCAAATGGCTCATTTGCCCATACAGAAAAAGGCAATCCCCTGTCCATTTGAGAATAAACTTTCTCCTTGGGAACCTGTGCAATGTTTAAGGGTGTTCCCAAAAATTAATTCATATTCATACAGCCAAGTATGCTCCCTGAATCGCCGGAAAGAAATGCCTTCAGGCAGGGGCACTTCACCCAAAGGTCACTCAAAACTCGGCCGGGTGGCCTTTCGCTGTCGCAAGCACGGATCAACTGATGTTTGGAGTGGTTGCCCAAACAACTCTATGCCGTCTATCCCATTATCGTATGAAGTAATCTGCTTGGGCGCAAATGGTGTGTGGAAGATGATAACAGGAACCCGCAATGTAGGGAATCCCCCCACTTGTGCAGGAACTTCCCCATTTAAGACAAACCTGGATTGTCTACGTGGGAAAGGGACCGAGGACGCAACAGGAATGCTTTCGAGCACCTGTACATAGCGCCTGTCCAATCCTATTTTTGGATGACCATGACTGCTGGGCGAATATCAAGACATTTCACCATGGAACAGTTGGGCGTGCATCAAAAGTGGGCAAGCCGTGACATTGTCAGCTCCCTTTGCATCTTGCTCACATCACCAAAGCAGCCCCTGGCTTTGGCATTCACATTCCCAAAGCTGCGTTTGGAAAAACAATGGAAACTAGCTTCCTTCATATACGACTTTCACATAGGCCTAGGTAGCCTTCCTCCCACCAACAATCACAAACATGGAACCCTACCAGGTTCCCGTTTGGAGGTTTGTTGTCTTCCAAGACTCCCCACCAGGTTACGTCAGTTGGCGGGTACGGAGTTGAATTCCGTCCAAGCCGCCCAGGCACCACTTCGGCCTCTTTCTCGGCCGCCGCCGCCTGCGGGAGCCGAATTCTTCCGGTGGCCTGCGCCCAAAATTGGCATGGCCACACAAGACCCCAGCTTTCTGCCCGTGCATACAAATTGCTCGGATGCCATTTTCTTGATTTACCTGAGCCTCTCACAGCCTAGCTCCAGCTCCCTTTCTGCCAAACCATGGAGTGTCTCAAAAAGTGGGGTGATCCCGAATGCGACATGGGCAGTTTAATCCGCCCAAGCCCTGTCACCTGACCTCCCGAGTCTCTGATCCCCACCCCCTCAGCACAGGAGTTTTGCTTCCGCGCTAGCCGTCAGTCGCTGAACGGGTTCAAGCCTCAGAGTCCAAGTCTTCTCAACATGGCAAACGAAAAATATTTCAGAGATATGGGCCCTTAGTATGGCCCAGGTTGGGTGAATTTCTCGGCCATTGCAAACAATCGGGGTCCCACTGTGGGCAATATGTGGATGTGAATGGTGGGGGCAGCATAGCTCCAGCCACTGTTGGAAGTAAGGTGAAAGATATACTTGGGACGAGTCTCCAAGTTTTAAGTTGCACCCTTTTGGGTTGTGCACCTGACCAGAAGGGCCACGTTTTTCCACCCAAGCCTGTTTTGCGTTGCCCAAAGCAGGTTGGGATTAAACAAACACGCACCCGGCTGTCCCAGCCCCAAACCTGAAGACTGAGCCGCGAAGAACGCGGGTACGCCACTCAAAATAGGGAATTCCAAAAACCAAGGCCACAATGGGCCAACCCGTTGAGTGTTTTGGCTTGGCATTTGCAGGGAACGCCAACTAATCAACCCTAATCACATTGTCAAATGTTTATGACTCGACTTGGGCTGAGGGCTACCAGGTGCTGTTGTTTGCCGCTTGTTTTGTTCGGGATTTCTTCTCCCATGTGTGCGCTTTTATCATTTTCGGGTTACTGGGTGGGTTTAAGGGTTTAAGGGTTTAAGGGTTTAGGGTGGGCTTAGGGCGGTGTAAGGAGGGCTTAGGCTTGGTTTAAGGGCGTGGGGGCGTTGGCTTACAGTAGGGGGGCAGGTGTAGCGTGCTTTCTAGGGTGTAGGGTTAGGGTGGGTTTAAGGGCTTGGGTGGGCTTAAGGTGGGTCAAAATACTTGCTTTGGGGATTGTTTATGGCGGACAGCAGCAACACGGAAATATAAGGGCAAGACGGATGGCAGGGGGTGGGGGTGGTTTAGTTTTCTTCTGCTTTTTGTTGGAAAACAATATTGTGGTCTTTCTTTCTTTCTTTCTTTCTTTCTTTATTTCTTTATTTCTTTCTTTCTTTCCTTATTTCTTCCTTCCTTGCTTCTTGCTTCCTTGTCTTTCTTTCTTTGTTTCTTTCTTTCTTTCTTTCTTCCTTCCTTGCTTCCTTGTCTTTCTTTCTTTGTTTCTTTCTTTCTTGTCTGTTCTTTTCTTTTCTTTTCTTTTCTTTCCTTATTTCTTTTATTTTCTTTTCTTTTCTGTTCTTTTCTTTTCTTTCTTTCTTTCTTTCTTTCTTGTCTGTTCTTTTCTTGTATTTTCTTTTCTGTTCTTGTCTGTTCTTTCGTTCTTTCTTTCTTTCTTTCTTGTCTGTTCTTTCTTTCTTTCTTTCTTTCTTTCTGTCCTTCTTTCCTTCTTTCTTTCTTTCTTTCTTTCTTTCTTTCTTTCTTTCTTTCTTTCTTTCTTTTCGTTTCTTTTCTTTTC